CACACAGGGCATTTCTTCACTGCTTCACTTTTTCCCCTCTGAAAAAGCTGGAACAGCCTCTCCCAGCCCTGCAGATGAAGGGAGTGTTTTCCAAAAAGCAGGATTTGGAAGCTCCCTGGAGCTGCTGAGCTGCTAACTGGCCGTGCAGAGCTCGAGCCTGGCTCTGCTCTGGGGCAGTGGGGCTGAGCCAGCCTGGCCAGGGGAAGCCCAGAGGGCTCTGCCCAACTTTTCCAGTCTGCCCAGGCTCTGGCAGCATCCCCTGCAGCCTCTCACTCCTGGCAGACACCACCTCAGCCCTTCTCCTCCCCTCTGAGTTCCAATCCCACTTTTTGGGGGTTGGGAGGGACTTTAAAGCTGCCCCAGTCCCAAGGCAGGGACATTTCCAGCAGCCCAGGCTGCTCCAAGTTACTCCAACCCAGAGCTCCAAGTCCCTCACTGAAACCTCCTTAGTTCCCTCCTTTCCTAAGGCTCCTGCCCTTGCAACACCTGCAGCAAAGCACATTAATAACAAATTCATTAATTCCTTCCCGGGCAAGCTTTGGCAAACCAGCCCTTCCAGACAGAGGGGGGAGGTGAAAACCCCCTCTGCACCATCCAGCTGGAAAAATGAACGGAGCAGGAAGAGTTATCCCAGCTGTGGGGACTCCAGATGACCCCAAAGGGGAAGGGATGGAGCCCTGAGGGCCCCTTTGGAGAGGCTGTTGAGGCAATCAAGGGTCAGCTCTCCTGGGAGATCCTCCCCAGAATTCCTCTGTCGTTCCCAAAAGCAGCCAGAGGTTTTTCTCATCTCCCCCACGTGCCCTGGCTGGTGTCTGAGGGGATTAGAGCTGATGTCACCCCCTCTCCTCCCCTCCCAGCCACACGTGGCCTGTGGAAAAGAGCCACAGGAGGAGGAGGAGGAGGATTCCTTGGCTCCAGCCCCTGGCTGCAGTCATGGGATGCTCTGGCTTGGGAGGGACCCCCCAAAAAAAGCTCCCAATCCCAAAAAGCTGGGTTCTGTTCCCACCTCCTTGCTCAGTTTGGAAGGAGGGTTTTTTTGGATAGAATGGGTTGGGTTGGGAGGGACCTTAAAGCCCATCCAGTGCCACCCCCTGCCATGGGCAGGGACATCTCCCACTGTCCCAGGTGGCTCCAACCTGGCCTTGGACACTCCCAGGGATGGAGCAGCCACAGCTGCTCCGGGAATCCCATCCCAGTCTGTCCCCACCTTCACAGGGAGGAATTTTTTCCCCAAAATCCCATCTAACCCTGCCCTCTCTCTGTTTGACTCTCCCACCCTTTCCCTGCCACCTTGGAAATCTCTGGAAACCTCTGCACCTCTTTTAAGGGATTCCTTTAAGGGATTCCATTAAGGGATTCCTTTAAGGGATTCCTTTAAGGGATTCCATTAAGGGATTCCTTCAAGGGATTCCTTCAAGAGATTCCTTCAAGGGATTCCTTTAAGGGATTCCTTTAGGGGATTCCTTTAAGGGATTCCTTTAAGAGATTCCTTTAAGGGATTCCTTTAAGGGATTCCTTCAAGGGATTCCATTAAGGGATTCATTTAAGGGATTCCTTCAAGGGATTCCATTAAGGGATTCCATTAAGGGATTCCTTTAAGGGATTCCTTTAAGAGATTCCATTAAGGGATTCCTTTAAGGTCCCCCAGTACTTTGGTGCCACAAAAGGGTCCCACAAACCCTCCCAGAGCTCAAACCACCCCTTTGGAAGCCCATCAGGAGCCTCCAGGCCCCGTTTCCTGGGAACCACTCACCGAAGTTGGAATCCTCTCCCAGCTCCTTGCCGTAGCGGATCATGCTCTCCCCCAGCAGCCCCTCGGACTGGGGGTATCCCGGATTCTTCACCTGCCCCCGGATCTTGGACATCGTGTTGAGCATGGTTAGCTTGGCTCTGGAAGCTGGCACAGAAACAGCCACAGTTTGCAGCTCCTGGGACCTGCCAGGAGCTGCTGCCAAGTGGGAAGGAGGATTGGGGAAGGGGGGTGAGGGGTGGAGGGAGGGTTGTGATGGGGTTTTTTTTTATATTTTTTTTTCCCTGTTACACCCAAAGCTGAGAAGCTCCACTGGCTCCACCTCCCAGAAATATCCCTTGCTAGGGAAAGAAAAGCTCCTTTTCCAAGGAGGCAAAAAATAGTTCCCTGCAGGAGGCCAGAGGAGTTTCCCTGGAGCAGCTGGCTGGCAGGAGGCAGCCCTGCAGGCTCCAGCATCCCCCTTTCCCAGCCCAGAAACTCCAGCTTTTCGCTGCACATTCCAGGAAAAACGGGTGTGTGTCCCCCCCCCTCAACCTCGGGCCTCTCTGGGTCTGTTCTGAACCTGCCCTGATCCAAGTGTGGGCTTGGGGACAAGGAAAGGCTGGCCCTGAGGCATCCCTGCCCTGTCTCCATGATTCCCTGGGAAGTTGGGAGCACAGGGAAGGGGCCCAGGAGAAGCCCAAGGCCCTCACCTGGGTTGGGCTGGAGGTACTCGATTGTTCTGGTCAGCACTTCTGTGACGGCTTTGCTGGTCAGGTCCACCTTCTGTGGGAGAGACAAGACAACCCAGCATAAAAATGGGGGGGTCAGCTCAGGGCTCCAGGGAGATCCCAGAGGGGTTATCCCAGGATTTTAAAAGGTTCCCAACTCGCCTTTTCCATCTCCTTGAAGTCATCGTCGAGTTTGGTCCCTTCGGCCCCTCCGACCTTCTCGCTGACCAACTGCAGGGAAAGAGCAAGGCAAGGGGGATCAGATCCTGCTGGATTCCTCATTTGCCATGGAATAACCCCCTGGGACACACAGGGAAGAGGGATGGTCCCGGGAGAGGAAGGAGGAGGCAGGAATAGCCCCCAAAAAACACCCCAGACATCTCCTGCCTGCCCAAATATCCCCAGCCAGGACGCTCCTCACCCCCAGCAGGAGCCACAAGAGCTCCTTAAATCCCAGCACAATCCAAGCTTTGACTCCCAGATCCTGCTGGAAAAAAACAACAGGCAGCCAAACGTCTCTCAGCTCCGTTCCCAGCCAAGAACTGGGTTTCCCACATGGCAAAATCCCGGGAAACGGGGAAGGAACACGAAGGAACAGACTCTGCTCCAGGTTTGGGGACAGCAGGGAACCCTCCCAGCCACCATTCCCATGGGAATCCCTGCAGGAGCTCAGGCTCTGGGGCTGGAATTCTTTGCCAAAGACCCCCAGAAGCAACAGAACATCCCAAAGTGTCCCTGACAGCAAATCCCAAAGTGTTCCTGACAGCAAATCCCAAAGTGTCCCCTGTTGTAAGAGCCGGTGGAAGGGGAGGTGTTGGACGATAATTTTGGGCTATTTTTGGGAAGGTCCCATCAGCTTCCTCCTGTAAAGTTGTGAAGGAGCAATTTGGGATTATTTGGCCCCAAATGGCAGCAGAATTCCCCACCCAAAAGCCCAGAGTGGTGTGGGAAAAGCTCTGGATCCCAAAACAGACCCGAGGCATTGCCAGGATTCCTCCTGTTTGTCCCCAAAGCCCAAGGAACAATCGAGGTTTGTTTACTTGAACATCAAATATTTGATTTTATCGAGGTTTTTTTTTTTTTCCTCCTCTGGAACTGCTCCTGCTCCCCAGGGGATTCCCTGTGGGGGTTTGGGAAGGAAGAGGGGGAGGGATCCTTCAGCCAGGAGAGAACAGCCACAATTCCAAAGGGGAGGGGAGGGAAAGGGGAAGGGAAGGGGGAAAAGAGGGAAAGAGAGAAGAAAGGGAAAAGGGAAGGGAGGGAAAAGGGAGGGAAGAAGGGAAAGAGAAGGAAAGGAGGAAAAAGGAAAAGCTCCCAGCTGCCTTCCCTTGTTCCCTGCCAAAAATCCTGCACCCAGAACGGGATCTGGAGACCCCCCCCATTCCTCAATCCACCTGGGAAGGGTAAAATTATCCCAAGCAATTCCATCCCCATTTTCCTCCACCTACTCCCCCAGCCCTGGCTTTGTGGGCTGGAAATCTGGAAAATACAGGAGCTGGGATCCATCCCAGAGTGATTCCAGAGCCTGGGGATGCCAAGGAGGCCAAACCTCCCCCTTGTTTCCAGCCTCTGTTTAATCCTCCTGTTGGAGGTGCCAGGAATGCTGCTGGGAGGGAGAATGGGATTGGGAATCCAGCTGGGAGGGCAGGAGCAGGGATAGCTCCCAAATCCCTCGGGAAGGACAAATTGAGGCAGATCCCACTCCTCTCAGCAGCTCTGGGTTTAACCCAGAGCTTTGGGATGGGGTTGGGAGCCAAAATTCCAAGGGTTCGTGGTGCTGCATCCAAAGAGCCTGGGGAGGAGGTGGATGTTTTCCTCAGGGAGGAATTCACCTCTCTGGGATGGGGGAGGAAAGGAGAAGGGAGAATGGGAAAAAAAGGAAAGGGAAAGGAAAAGGAGAAAGGTTTGTTTACTTGAACATCAAACATTTAATTTTATCAATCCCAAACTGGGACAAGGGATGGGACACACACAGGAGATTCCCTCTGGAAGCAGGGATGGGACACACACAAAAGGGATCTGGGAGGAGGGATGGGACACAAAAGGGATCTGGGAGGAGGGATGGGCCACACCAAAGGCTCCCCCTGGGAGCAGCAAATGCCAAGCTCTTGCCAGAGCAAATATTGGCCCAAGGTGCTGAGCTGGGCACAGCCTGGCCTGATAAAATCTCCTGTTTGCCCTGGAATGCCATCCAGGGGCTGGGGGAAGAGGGCTGAGCAGGCTCTGGAAGCCAGGAATCCAGCCCTGGCTTCCCATCCATGTTTAATTCAAAGGATGCAGCTCAGAGGTGCCCTAAATAGCCCTGAGTGAGATGGAAATGGATTCTCCTAAAGGGGCTCCAGGAGAGCTGGAGAAGGGAGGGCAGTGCCCAGGGGTGGTGAGGCTGCCCTGACGACACAAAGAGGCTCATTAATTGTTAATTGGCCTGGTGTCATCCTGGGAAACTTGGCCAGGAACTGGGAATGGCTGGAGCTGTGCCAGGGGAAGGTTGGGATGGATCTCAGGGAAAGGTTCTTCCCTCAGAGGGTGGTGGGAGTGGGCACGGCCCCAAGGCTGCCAGAGCTCCAGGAGGGGTTGGATGATCCTCTGAGGGACAGGGTGGGATTGTTGGAATGTCCTGATGATCCCTGGGGGGTCTCTTCCCGCTCAGGATATTCCAGGATTCCACAGAAATCATTGCTGGGGATGTTTCTGTGTTTGGAGATGACAAATCGAGCCCCAACTCCTTAAATAAAGAGGGGGTGGAGAATGATAAAGGAAAACCCTGGGGAACATGTCCAGGACTCTTGGACAAGGCCCTGAAGGACAGGGGGGTGTTGTTGGGGTGTCCTGGGTGTCCCAGCTCCTCCAGGAAGGCAATTCCAGAGGCAGGAAAAGCCCCGGGGTGGGGTGGTGGGGGGAGAGGCGAGCTGGGCACGCCCTCAGCACACAGCGAGCAACTCCTGACCTACTTAAAGGTGGAGGAAAACAAATCCCAGCGTTCCCTGCAGGGAACAGGGCAGGGACAGTCACCTCCACCTCCTGGGGAACAGGGAGCCACGTTCCCAGCTCCCAAACAAGGAGATAGGAACTTCCAGGAGATGGTTGATGGGATGAGTTTTAAGGTCCCTCCCAACCTAACCCAGTCTGGGATTCTGGGATTCTTTACATCCCCACTGCCCACCTGATGCTCCTGCTTTGGGAATTCCTCCTTTCCTCAGCTGCAGGACCCCATTCCAATGCTGGCTGTGATCCCTCCCTCTCATCCCTGGGCATCTCCAAGTGGATTTTTCCAGCAGGACACACAGCGCAGACCCTGCCCCGATGAACACCTTCCCCATTATCCACCTCTCAACCTTCTCCTGAACTTCCCATCCCACATTTTCCCCATTTCCACTGTTGGTGAGGAGGATCCTGGCTGAGCCTTGCAGCCAAGCACCCATCCCTGTGATTCCATGGGCTTGGAAAAGGCTCTTTCCAGGCCTCCCCCCACCACCCTCGAGGTGCTCCAGACACGTGTCCTGGGAAAACGTGTTCTCCAAAGCTCTGGAGCTTCCCACCCCCTCACCATCTGACACAGGGATCCCTCCCCTCCCCCCACCCCCCACGAGAATCCCTGGATTGTGGAATCCCTGGATTTGCAGCGGGAAGGCCACAACAGTAAAAGGTTCCTTCCCTTCTCTTCCCTTCCCTCCGGAGGCTTCCCGGTGACCTCGGGCCGTAACCTCATCCCATGGAAACGGCAGGAGCTGCCCAGGGATCTTTTCCAGGAGCCTCCTCCTCCTCCTCCTGCTGCTGCAGTGACTCATCTCCATCCAGCAGATGGGCCCGAGGGAATGAGGACAGCGGGAATTAAAGGAGAGCCGAGTCAGTGAAGCAGCAGCCGGGCAGGTCTGGGGCCAGCCCAGGGCACGGGATGCTCCCGCCCTGCCTCGGGAATTCTGCCCTGCCCTGGCTGCAGCAGGAACACCTGCTGGGATTCTGGGATTCTGGGATTGCTCCCATCCTTTCCTGGGCACAGCAGAGCAGGAGGAGCAGCACTGGGAGCTCTGGGAGCAAACCCCGCTGTGCCAGATCCCAATGCGCTCCTGCCCTGGGAATTCCTCCTGCCTTGGGAATTCCTCCTGTCTTGGGAATTGCTCCTGTCTTGGGAATTCCTCCTGCTCTGGGAATTCCTCCTGCCTCAGGAATTCCCTCTTTCCTTGCCTGCAGCACCACATTTAAATCCATCCTGGTTGTGATCGCCCTCCCCAAGTTGATTTTCCCAGCAGTGCTGAAGGGCCCCCGGAGCAGACTCATCCCAAAGGTTTCCACCTTTGGAATGCTGGCATGAGGAGCATTTGCATCCAGTTATCCCAGCAGCATCCTGTTTTTTCCTGTGATTAGTTATGAACTGAACAAGACACAATTTCTACTCAGTTTGGGGAGAGGGGGAAAAAAAATCCTGGAATTGGGTGAAGGAAAAAGCAGCAGCCACGATTTTTCCTCACCCACTTCCAGTGATCCCAGCAATCCAGAGGAAGTTCACTGAACCGAGGGGAAAACGTGGAATACCGGCCTTGCATCCAGACTTCCTGCCCAGCCTCCCCACGTCCCATCCCAGTGAATCACGGCCTGGCTTTTCCAGAGCTTTTCCAAAAGCTGCTGAGCCATCGTTCCTGGGCAGCTCCACCCGGCCCCGGTGGATCCAGGGGGAGAAAAGCAGGGATTCTTCCCTCTGGAATCTTGGAGCTGCTCCTCAGGAGGGAGATCAGAGTGCAAAGCACTCCCAAAGTGCCTCCCTCAGAACTCCACTCCTGGATTTTTCCCGCTGCAAAGCTCTGGGAAGAGCAGCCAGCAGTCTCATCCTGCCCATAGAGGATCAGCCCACACGGAGCTGATCCCCAAAAATATGGGAAAAGGAGGGGAAAAGACACCTGGAAAACACCAGGGGCTGCAAAAAAGTAGGAGATGGGATTGCTGCTCCCACTGAAAACCGGGAAAGAGGGGAAAAACCCTTCCCTGGGGTGCAGGGCACGGAGTGGGATCATCCAGAGGGAAATCTTGGACAGCAGGAGATTGGAGCTGTCAAAGAGCTGGGATAGAGAGGGAAGAGCCTCTGGATCTGCAGGATGATGGGAGCAAAGCAAGGCTGCTCCTTGGGACACAGAGCTGTGGGATATGGAGAGGTGGGATCCAGGGAACTGTGGGACAGGGAGAAACGAGGGGATATGGAGAACTTTGGGACAGGAAGAAATGATGGGATATGGAGAATTGGTGGGATCCAGAGAGCTGTGGGACAGGGAGAGCCCGGAACGCTCATTCCCAGCCACATTCCCTCCTGGATAGCAGGGGGTTAACGAACTCAGGAAGGGCCCAGCAGAGCTCCCTGCAGCTCCAGAGCCACCAAAGGCACATCAAAGGAAAGCAGATCCCTGTTTTCCAGGCCGGGATGGGCAGCAGAGCCCACGGCCAAGGAAAAGCTCCGGACGGAGCCGGCGCTGCCTCCGTGTACACAAAACATCAAAGAGGGACACAAATCCCTGGGATCAACATCAACACCCCTTTTCCTCCTGGATTTTCAATAGTAGGAAAAGCCTGGTGGCTGTCAGGGCCCTGCACGGCGTCCTGAGGGCAGGGAGAGCGGGAATGAGCCATCCCAGCAGCCATCCCAGGATTCCTAAAGGCTGCTGTGGGATCACAACATTCCGGCCTCGGATCCTTCCCCGCATCCAGGCCCTCTGTCCCGCTCCCAGCTCATCCCAGATCCAGGTTTTTCTCACTGCATGTGGCTAAGCCTCCCTTTGGAATGGTTTCAGCGGGATCAGACCCCTCCCAGATCCATCTCCAGCCCCTCAGCCAGAGCTGGAGGTGTCCCAGAAATCCTGGGAGATGCCGATCCGGATGATGTTATCCCGAAATCCCGGACCTTTTGGCCTCTAAAACCAGCCCAGCACAATCAGGAGGAGCTTTATCCATCTGCTCCCTCCAAACCACGTCAGCAGCACACGAGGTCTTGGCTAAATCCAGGGAAAACACTCCCAAAAAAATAAAAAAAACCACCCTAAAAAAACTCCTCCTCCTCACTTTTCCCAGTTATTGGGAGATCCCAAAAATTCCCAGGGGGTTTTAAAGGATTAATTTTTTTTTTTTTTCCTGGTGATAAGGGTTTGGGTTACAGGGATAGAAGGGTTTTCCTGGGAGCAGGAGAAGCCCAGGATGGATTCCAAGCAGGACCTCGGGCACCTGCAGGCACTCCCAGGAAATTCCAGCCCCAAAACCAGGCTGGATCATCCACCAGCAACTGGTTGATCCCGAAATTTGAGCCAATCAGGGCCTTTTCCTGTCAACAGGAACCTGTTCCTGAAATCCAAGGGATGGAAGGGGTGGGGGGGGGAGGAGAGGAAAAGGAAATCCTTAAAAAAAAATCTCCAATCCTTAAAAAAAAAATCTCCAATCCTTAAAAAAAAATCTCCAATCCTTAAAAAAAAAATACCCAAATGATCACGGGAACGAGTTCAGCTGGAATGGGGAAGAAGCCAAAAACCTGGATTAGGGATTGGGGTTATTCCTGGTTTGGGAAGCAGCTCCAGGAGGGACAGCATGGATAGAGCAGGATCAGGAGGGGCAGGAACCCCCCTCCAGGTGCCACTGGACACGAATTCCACGGCTGGAATTCGGGATTTTTGTGTGGGAATTCCTGCAGTTTCCAGGCAGGAGGAGCTGCCCTGTTGGTTTTCCCATCTGGAAGCCCTGGCAAAAAAAAGCTCTGGAATTGCAGGAATTGGGGGAAGAGAAGGAAGGAAAGTGCTAAAGAAAGGAATCAGCTTTTCCAGCCTGAGCTCATCCCTATCCAGCTCTTTCCCTGGAGGAAAATCCTGGCATGGAGAAAGGGGGAAGGAAGGATTTCCTCCCACCCAGCCTTGGATAAATCCCTGATTTCAGGGAGACAGGGATGTCAGGAATCAGCATCCCAGTGGCACATGATCCCTGAGTCACTGCCTGCATCCCAGATCATTCCAGCTGCACACACAGGGAACGCTTTCCCTGCTGGAGTGGGAAGAGCTGGAGTTTTCCAGCCCTTGTTTTCCACCTTCCAGGAATTCTGGAGGGCTGTGAAAACCACCTTAAAAGGGAGGGAAGGAGAAAAAAAGCCAAATTTCCAGTAAATGATGTGGAGAAACGAATCATTCCTTGCCTGGGACTCCAGACAGGCTGGAAAATCCTGGGAAAAGGAAAGCTGCTCAGCTCTGTCGATGATTAACCAGCCTGGGATGGGGGGGGTGATGCCAAATCCTGCCAGGAAAGGAGGGGGAATCCATAGGAAAATATCCTGGACACGGGGATGGGATGCTCTGATACCTGATCCCTGTCTCCAGGGCTTGGAATCATGGAATTGCTGGGCTTGGGAAGGACCTTCAGGATCCCCAAGTTCCAGTGTGGGCGCAGCAGCTCCGAGCTTTGTGTTCCCAAGCACATTCCAGAGGTTTGGGGGACAATTCCAGGGATGGGGATCCACCACTGCCCTGCATGGCTCATTCCAGAGCTTCCCAGGGAGGAATCTTCCCAAATTTCCAAGCTAAACAGCCTGGGAATGTTTTCCATGGTCCTGTCCCTCGTTCCCTGGGAGCAGAGTCCGATCCCACTGGATCCAAACTCCGCTGTGGGACTTGGCAGGAGGCTCCAGGTTGGAATCTGCACAATTCCTTCACTCCCCAGTCCAAATTCCAGAGGGTAGGTGAGGATCTTGGAGCCAGCCCATGTCCCATGGGAATTCCCTGCTCCTTGGGAGCCTCATCCTGCCTTTGGCACCAAAGCACCGGGGCAGGAAAGCCAAGGAGAGACCTGACCCTGGATCTGCTCCTGCTCCTGGATCTGCTCCTGGATCTGCTCCTGCTCCTGGATCTGCTCCTGGATCTGCTTCTGGGATCTGCTCCTGATTCTTGGATCTGCTCCTGGATCTGCTCCTGATTCTTGGATCTGCTCCTGGATCTGCTCCTGCTCCTGGAATCTGCTCCTGATTCTGGGATCTGCTTCTGGATTTTCCTCCTGGATCTCCTCCTGGGATCTCTTCCTGGATCTACTCCTGCTCCTGGGATCTGCTCCTGATCATGGGATCTGCTCCTGGATTTTCCTCCTGGATCTGCTCCTGGAATTTGCTCCTGCTCCTGGATCTGCTCCTGGATTTTCCTCCTGGATCTGCTCCTGGATCTCCTCCTGCTCCTGGATCTGCTCCTGGGATCTGCTCCTGGAATTTGCTCCTGGAATTTGCTCCTGGGATCTATTCCTGCTCCTAGGACCTGCACCAGAAGGTCCTCAGGAATTCCCATCTGGAGGGAATTCCCACCCTGCTCCTGCTGTTTCCTCCAGCCTGTATTTATCCCTTTTTTTTAGGGAACATTCAGCTGGGAAGGGGCTCCCCATCCGCAGGCTTTGCTGGCACCACTTGGAATTTTTCGGTTTTTCCATGATTTTTTTTTTCCCCCTGGCAGGAATCCCAAGGATGGGGCCCAGCCCTGCTCCCTCTGGATGCAGGAATGGGGAGCAGGAGGAGTTTTTTTCCTTCAGTTGAGACGTGGAAGGGAAAAGGGAATTTTTTTTTTGGGGGGAAAGATCTTCCACATGTTTGGGTTTGGCAGAGCCTGAGGGGGAGGAGGGAGCCAAGAAATGGCTGATCCTGCTTGGAGTGGGAAGGAGAGGGGGAAAAAAGGGGGGAAAAGGGAAAAGAGAGGAGGGAAAGGAAGGAGCCAGGAGTGGAGGTGACAAACGCCGGGAATGGGGATGGGATGAGGGAAAGGGTGAGAAGAGGAGGTGGAAAACACGGCTGGGGGGGGGGTTGGGAATCCCCAGCTGTTCCCAAAATGCCACAAAAACATCCCAAGTCTCAACGGGAAGGACAATCCCGATCAGAGGGATCGGGAATGGGGGGAAGGGAGGAGGTGTTTGTGCAGATTCCCACAGGGAATCACGGAATGGGTCGGGAGGGACCTCAAAGATGATCCAGGGGCATTTTCCACTAAACCGGCCTGGAACACTTCCAGGGATGGGGAATTCCGAGGGAAAAGCTCCGAGGAGAGACAGCAAATCCATCCCGGCTGCCGATCCCACCCCCGGCAGGCTCTTCCCGACATTCCCAGGCGTTTCCCGGCGCTCCAGGCTCCCCTTTCCCACCCCCGACCCCTGCCCTGCTCCAGCTGCTCTCCAGGAAGCCGCAGCTTCCCGGGGTCGAGCTGCAGCTGCTGCCCAGGGGTTAAACAGGGGGTTATCCCGAAATCCAGGGCTTTCTCCTGAAATCCCGCCTGCCCATTCCCAAGGGGAATGCTGGATCCGGCCTGGGGGTGGGACACGGAGGGATTTGGGGCTGGGGGGGCAGAACCCCCCGATTGGGACCCCCCTCCCCCGTGACCCTCTGGTCCTCAGGGAGCGAATTTCCTGCCGGGATCGCTTCCATAAATAATCCAACCGGGAGAACGGGACCTCCATTCCCGGGAGCGCCATCCCGAGTTCTCCATCCCCGGGGACCTCCAAACCTGGGACCTCCATCCCCGAGTTCTCCATTCCCGGGATCCCCATCCCGGTACTGCCATTCCCACCATCTCCATTCCCATCATCATCTCTATTCCCGGGATCCCCGGGCTGCCCCGCGGGGTCCCCGCTCCGCTCAGAGCCCCCTCCAAGCGCCGGGATCACCGGGAACACCGGGATCACCGGGATAACCGGGATCACCGGGAACACCGGGATCACCGGGATCACCGGGAACACCGGGAGCGGGATGGAGGGTGGGGGAGGCAGATGGAGAACCGGAGATCGGGACACCGGGGGGGGGTCCGGGACCACCGGGCTGCGGGTGAGGGGAGGGTGAGGGGGGCGCTGCCGGTGCCTCACCTGGCTCGCCTTGTAGAACTGCTTCTTCAGCCCCGCCACCGACATGGTGCCGGGAGCGGCGCCGGCGCGGGGTGAGGGCGGCGGGACCGTGTCCGTGGGATCCTCGGGAGAGCCTCGGGATCCTCGTCCCGTCCCGGCCCGGCCCGTCCCGTCCCCGCCGCCGCTTCCGCCGCCGCCGCCCGGGCCCGCCGAGCAGCGAGCGGCGCGGCCGGAGCGCCCAGCGCCGCCAGGGCGCCCCCTGCTGGCGCGGCGGACCAAACGCCGCGAGTCGCGACAGAGTCCGCCGTAGCCACGTGTTTATTCCTGAGGGACCGCCACGCGTGTCGCCCGTGGGGAAGGGAAGCAGAGCGCGACACGGGGACAGCCAGGTCGGAGCCGCTCGCCGCGGAAAGGGATGGTGAAACCGCCGCGCCGCTGAGAGGGAGAACTACAACTACCAGCACCCTCCGCGGCGCACAGTGCGCCTGCGCGCCGCGCCAACGGGGCGCTGATTGGCGGCTGGCGCCGCCGCCATTTCGCGCCTTGGCTCGGCGCCCCGAGCGGCGCGTTGGCGGCTCCCCCCCCTCCCCGCTCGGTGCTGCGGGAGAGGTGAGCGGTAATTCGGGGCGGCCTTTCCCGCCGCCCGCTGTGAGTGCGGCACCCCCGGGAGCCCCGGCCGCGACCACCCAGCCGGCCCTGCCGCCGCCAGCCAATCAGCGCCTCCAGCGCGCCGGACTGACAGCCGGCTTGGCCAATCAGCGGCAGAGCGCGGGCTCAGCCAATCGCTGGCAGGGGGCGGGCGGCGGGGCGGGTCACGTGGGGGCGGGCGGCCAATCAGCGCGGCGGGACGCGGGGTCGCCCCGGCTCCCGCCAAGTACGAGCGGGACGGGCCGGGCGGGCCCGGGAGCGGCGGGACGGGCCGGGCCTGAGGGGACGGGACAGGCCGGGACGGGCTGAGGGCACGGACGGACGGGCCGTGTGGGCTTCGGCCGCCGCCGCCGCCCGGGGGCCGCGCCGCCCGCGGGCACAGGTGAGGGCCGCGGCCGGTGAGGGGCGCGGGGTAACAAAGGAGGCGCCGGGGACGGGCCCGCCGAGGGGTTCGGTTGTGGGGGGGGGGCCGCACATCGGTTCGAGGCGGGAGGGAGGTTAAAACACCCCCTGCCATGGGCAGGGACACCTCCCACTGGACCAGGTGGCTCCAGCCTGGCCTTGGGCACTCCCAGGGATGGGGCAGCCACAGCTGCTCTGCCCAACCTGTGCCAGGGCCTGCCCACCCTCCCAGGGAGGAATTCCTGCCCAATATCCCACCTAAATCTCTCCTCTTTCCCTGTAAAACCATTCCCCTTGTCCTGTCCCTCCATGCCTTGTCCCCAGTCCCTCTCCAGCTCTCCTGGAGACCCTTTTGGCCCTGGGAAGGGCTCTCAGATCTCTTTGGAACCTTCTCTTCTCCAGCCTGGCCTTGGACACTCCCAGGGCTGGGACAGCCACAGCTTCTCTGGGGAATCCTTACTCTCACAGGGAGGAATTTTCCCTTCCCACCTCCTGGGGATGTTCCTGCCCTCAGTCCAGGGGTGGAGTGGGTGACACTGGGAGCCCTTTGTGCCCCCTCACAGCTCCTGGGGGAGCTGTTGGGCCGCTGTGTCCCCGGGAACACCCCCCAGGTGCTGATTAATTGTGTTTTCTCTCCCAGCCATGGAGTGCAGGGACAAAGGGGCTGTTCCTCCTCGGAAGCTCGTGCAAGGTAAGGGTGTGCCTGTCACCTGAATTTGTGCAATTTGTGGGTGTGATGTCACCAAATAACCCCCTGTTGTTGTTGTTGTTGCTGATGATGATGCTGTCGCAGCTCGACTGCCCTTCAAGCGCCTCAATCCGGTGCCCAAGGACAAATATGAGGTGGATCCCGAGGTGAAGAAAGCCAAGAGCTCCCCCAGCAAAGATCCCACCCTGGATTCATCCGGCACGTCCCTGGACAACGTGGAGAACGACTGCCAGCTGGGCCCTGATGGGAATTTCAGCCCCAAACTCGTCAATGGGAAAGGCCCCTTGGATCACTTCATCCAGAAAAACCCCAGGGGTGCCACAAATGACCCTGAGCCCCCCAAGGGCTCTGCCCACGGACTCGGTGATGCCACAACCCGGGGGGGTTTGGACCCTCCAGCTGCTCCCCCCAGCAGGGCAGGGAAGGAGGGGAAGCAACTGAGCTGCCTGAGCTCCCCCCAGAGCGCCCACGGAGCGGATCCCACCGGGAATGCAGCTGGAGAAGGCGGGCTGGGAGGTGGGAGCCAGCCCTGCTCCCCCTGCAGGGCCCTGGGAGGCGGCCAGAGCGAACTGAGGGCCGTGCTCTTCGAGGGGAAGGTACCTGTGGTGCTCCTGCAGGACATCATGGCCGGCAGAGACCCCCAGGGGGCTCCTCCCGAGGGGAACGAGGCCCTGGAATCGTCTCCCGAGGGAGATTCGGGACTGAGCGAGTCCTCCCTGAGCTCCGGGAGCTCCCCCGAGCTCGGGGTGGGACCCAAGAGGAACACAAACCCTTTGGCTGCCTCCACCCCCCTCAGGAAGGTTGGTTTGCCCCCTCATTTCGGGGTTTTCCAGCTGCTTGGGGTCGGTTTGTGGGGTGAGGAGGATGCTGGGAAGGCAGAGGGGAAGGTTGGTGGTTGAGCCTGGGATTTCCTGCCAGCTTTGGAATCGTCCTGGAAACCCCCTCAGGGTTTTTTGCCTCGCCTGGTTCGGAGTTACTGGTGGATTTGTGCCCTGGGATTGTAACTTTTGAGCTGTGTTACAGTTTCATTTTGTGTTTAATTCAACACCTGCTGGGACTTGGCCTTTTGGTAATAACAGTTTGGCCCCTTAGGTGCTGTTTTCCAGCCTGTCTTTTATCCTCCTGGAATTCCTGTGAGCACCTTTTTCTTCCCTCCCTGGTTAAAATCAGTGCAGGTGCTTTTCCAGCTTGGAATTCCTGCAGCTGGCATGGAAAAGCCCTGGCACAGGGAAGTTGTGGCTGCCCCATCCCTGGGATTGGATCCAGTTGCAAAGGGGGTGGAACTGCCTCATCTCTGAGGTCATCCCAACCCAAATAATCCCGAAATTCTCTGGGATCAGCCCTAGATGAGGTGGTTTTATTGCCCTCCTGGTTGATGCTTCAACGAGAGACCCCCAAAATACCCCAATTTGGGAGAAAATACTGACAGAGAAACTTCCAAGGACACCAGGAAACATTCCCAGGGCTCAGTTTTTCCAGGGAAGGGATCAGGGAGGGCACAGTCACCCCTGGCAGGTGCTGCAGCCCAGCCTGGTTTACGTTTAGGCCGGATTATCTGCCCCTTGTTTTGTTCCACCCCGTTTTTAGAGTGGAAAATGGGAGTGGTATCAAGGGAGGAGATTGTTGAGGTGGAGAACCAGGTGTGTTCTTCAGGTAAGTGAAGCTCAAAGGGGTTTAACTTCCCTATTTATCCCACCTTGAGCCTCTTGAGAGAGAGATTTTAATCAACTTTTCCCTCAGGATTTAAGGGCAAACTGAGGGAAACCCCTCCCTGGATGAGCGAGGAACTCCCAAAATGATGGATTTTTTTATTATTATTTTTTTCCCCCCACAAAATGATCTCTTTTTCCCTCCTTGCAAACCCACAATCTTTCATCTCTAAAACAAACAGACACACTCAAGCAGGCATGAAGTATTTCCAGTGCAGCAGGACAGCAGAAAATATTAATTTCCTGGTGTAATCCTGCAAACAGGGCCTTGGTAAGACTGGGTTTGCTCCCTAAAATGGGGGGTTTCCCCAAAAAATCCACAGCTGAGAGGCCTGGAATGTTTGTTTTGCTGCCAAACTGAAGCTCCCACTTTGAAAAGAGCTCTTCTTTTGTGCCAGATAAATATAGAAAATAGAGCAGCTGGGCTGTGTTAGTCTGTCAAGCAGAGTTTCAGTGCTGTGAGTGGCAGGGGGAAGAGGGGGATGCAGCAACTCGAGCCACAGGGTGCTGAAATATTGACAAATTAAGGCTTTAACCACTCATCTTAAACATAAAATACTCCTTTTATCCTTCCCTAGCAGTAAAAAGTGTGACCTGCTGGGATTTTGGGCTCGATGGGAAAACAAGTGGGCTGCGATGACGAGAAGAAACAGCCTAAAAACCAGTCCCAAATCCCAATTTTAAAGCGACTTTGCCCCCAATTTAATGAGCAGCTCTCCATTCCAAGGCACATCCCCTTGGAAAAGGCACTCTGGAGCTGAGGGGTTTGTTTATGGAAAGCTGGGAAGGGGGATTTCATGGGAATCAGGGAAGATTGGGTGTGCCCTGCAGGAATTCTGAGGGTGCTGGGTCCAATCTGCTGCTCCATTTCCAATCTGTGCTCTTTTTTTTTTAAATTTTTTGTGGGAATGGGATTTGGCTCTTCCCTAAAACTAAAACTTCCCTTCTGTGCTTGCAGGTGCCTCAGAAATTCCACAGGAGCTCAGCAGAGAAGGAGAAGCTGAGGTTGCAAAGGGTAAGGGCTCTTTTTTTCCCCTCACACCCAAACTCACCCTGAGCAGCAAACAAAGCCCTTTTTTTTTTGCTGGGATCTCTTTTTTTTTTCCTGCTTTTCCTCACACTCCTGGATATGGAAAGACCTTAATGCAGGGAATGAATGGATTTTGCTCTTCCCAAAGCTCGAAGTGAGGGGTTTCTCACCCTTTTCCCCCCATTTTTCCAATCCCAACCTGTTTTTTCAACCCCCTGTTAAAAACAGCAGGGCTGGGAGGGAGAGAGGGGAGTTAAAAATGAGGCTGAAAATCAAATAGAACCACCCCTAGTGCTGGGAACTTCCCAGAGATCCCAGAAATTCCAGGACTCCGTCGTTCCCTTTGGCTCCACTTGGCTGTGGGGGGCTCTCTGGAATTACTGGAAGCTTGGGAAGTTGGGATGGGAAATCAGGAAAACCAGGCTGGAAATGCAATTCCTGCAGCATAAAAAAAAAAGGGCTATTTTTTGTGAAGTCCTTGTTTTATTTTTCTGGAATTCTCTGATTTATTTTTCTGGAAGTATTTGATTTTTTTTTTTTTTTCCCCTGGAAATGTTTGGTTTAATTTTGTTTTTCCTGGAATTCCTTTTTTTTTTTTTTTCCTAGAATTCTTTGATTGGAAATTTTTTTTCTGGAATTCTTTGATTTTTCTGGAATTCTTTGGTTTGGTTTGGTTTTTTTTTTCCTCCTGGAATTCTTTATTTATTATTCTTCGATTTATTACTCTTGAACTCTTTAATTTGGTTTTCTCAAATGATTTGTTTCGTTTTCCCCCAAAAATCTTTATTTTTCTCGAATTCTTATTTAAGAAGGACCTCCCAAGGATCAAATCCCACTCCTGTGACAGTGGAAAACATCAGGAAATCCTTATGGATTTCCAAATTCACTTCTAAAATGAACCCCACACCAGAGCACTGAGTGGGTGTGTCAGCTGAAGGGATGAAACGCTGCTTTTAATGAAGATTTTGATCCTTTACTTAATTTATTTTTATTTTTAAGATTTCTGTGCCCAAAAAGCCACAATTCCCTGAATATCCTGCTTTTTTTCCAGGATCAGGAGAGAGCAGACAAGCTCCAGAAGCTGCAGGCAGAGAGGGAGGAGAAGGGCAGGCTGAAGGAAGAAGCCAAAGCCGCCAAAGAACGAGCCAAGGAGGAGGCAAAGAAGAGGAAAGAGGAGGAGAAGGAGCTGAAGGAGAAGGAAAGGAGGGAAAAGAAGGAAAAAGAGGAGAAGGAGAAGGCAGAGAAGCTGAGGGTGAAGGAGGAGAAGCGCAAGGAGAGGCAGGAAGCTTTGGAGTGAGTGCCTTGGGAGGGATTCCCACCCCCACATTCCCATGCCATGTGGGATGGGCTGGAAAGGAAGGGCCTGGCAGATCCTTCTGCTCCCTCTCTGAGCTGGGAGATGGCAGTGCCACGGATTTTCCCACTGCTGGGAGTCCCCTCTGGCTCAATATTTGCTCCAGGAGCAATGAGGGAAGTGTTCTGTGTGCTCAGCCAGGCTGGAGTGGGGGATTATTTTCCTCTTGCTTGGCAAGGTTGGGGAAGGGCTGAGGGCAAATAAACCCTTCATGGTGCGTGGCAGTTCAAATTAACTCCCTGTTCCAGGGCAAAACTCGAGGAGAAGAGGAAGAAAGAGGAGGAGAAACGGTTAAGAGAGGAGGAAAAGGTAAATATTGGTGGTTACCAAACAAAAAGGTGTCCCTTTGCCTGTCTCTGAGTTCTTTTCCCGTGGTGAATCGTTGAGGGAGGTGTTCCCTGGCAGGATCCCGGGCTTCTCCAGGTGGAGATGGTGCCACTGGCACTCCAGCTGGGATGTGGAGCAGCTCCCTGTGGGATGCAGCCCTGTCCCCTCTCACCTGCTGGAGCTGCTCCACGTGGATTTTCACCTGTTCCTTCCACACCTCTTGGTTCCTTTGCTTTTCCCCTTCCCAAGTCTTTTCCCTCTGGGTGTTTTCCCCCTGCCCCTGATGTTGGAATGCCAGAGAGGACAGGCAGTGATTTTTTGGGGGAGGTTTGGAGATGAGTCATGCACAGGCTCACCTTGAATTGGAAAGCTCTGTCCTGTCTTGGTGTCTGTAAATTCACATTTTTATTCTGATTTCTCAGCGGATCAACGCCCAGAAAGCAGAAATCACCAGGTTCTTCCAGAAACCAAAGACTCCTCAAGCCCCCAAGGTGAGGGATTTGCTGGTCATGTGTGGGAGGGGTGTTTGGTCTCTCTTTAGTTGTCTCTAACAAACACCCCCATTTCCTTCTCATCCCAGAGCTTCTCAGGTGCACAGAGCGTTAATTTTCCTTAATTTCCTCATCTCAAAGCGCAAAGGATTTTAGGAAAAAGGCCAGAGCTGAGAGTCCAGGAGGAGTTTGGGATTATTCTCTTTAATTTCTTTGTTTCAAAGTGCAAAGGATTTTAAGGAAAAGGCCAGAGCTGAGACACCAGAAGAAGTTTGGGGTTAATTTTGCTTAATTTCCTTGTTTCAAAGTGCAAAGGATTTTAAGGAAAAGGCCAGAGCAGAGATTCCAGGAGAGGTTTGGGGTTGGTTTCATAAAACTCTCAGCTGTGTCTTCTCCACTGAGAGAACTCCCAGTCCTCCATAAACACCTCAACTGCCTTGGAATTGGAGCTTTGGGAAAGGCTTAACCTAAATCTTCCCTCACCCCGGGCTGGAACGTTGGGGCTGCAATTCCTGGGCTGTCCAAACCTTGACGTTCCTCACTTTGCTCTTCCAGATCCTCGCAGGCTCCTGTGGGAAGTTCGCCCCTTTTGAGATCAAGGAGAACATGGTTTTGGCTCCCCTCAGCCGTGTTGTCCCAGATCCAGACTCCTTGGAACAGCTGGATAAGCTCCTGCCCGCCCAGGACTGCGAAGTGTCCTTCCTGAGGGACCTGAAATGTCGCAAACCACGAAAATCCGGCGCCACCTGGGTCAGGAACAGGACTGACACAGTGAACAGGTCAGTGCTGGGAGGGCTTTTTGTCCCCTCTCAGGAGCTGCAGGAGGGGTTGGAGGTGGGAATTGGTGTTGGAGAGGTGGAGTTTTCCTGGGAGTTCTTCATTTTTCCCTGCCTGAGGATGTGGATTTCTGTCGTTCCGTAGGGAAAGGTGAGGAGGGGTCAGGGTGAACATCCCTGGAGGGAAAGGCTGAGGTAAATTGGGGGGTTTTGGGATGTGGCCAAAAGGTGACAGGTTAAATGAGTTCGTTCAGATGGAATAAAACCTGCTTTTTTGGGGGTTTTTTGGATGTGGGGTAATTTAGAGACGAAGTGAACGTTTTTGGGGTAAGATAGAAGTAACCAGGGAGGGTTTTTTTTGGGGGGTAAAATCTAGGGAATCATGAATATTTTGGGATTAAAATCTGAGTTAATTTGTAGGGTACAGAATGAACATTTTTGGGGTAAGATAGAAGTAACCAGGGAGGGTTTTTTTGGGGGGGTAAAATCTAGGGAATCATGAATATTTTGGGATTAAAATCTGAGTTAATTTGTAGGGTACAGAATGAACATTTTTGGGGTAAGATAGAAGTAACCAGGGAGGGTTTTTTTTGGGGGGTAAAATCTAGGGAATCATGAATATTTTGGGAGTAAAATCTGAGGTAACCTGTAGGGGACAGAGAGATCCTTATGAGTAAAAACTGAGGTAAGGAGCAGGTGACGTTTTGGGTATAAAATTGAGGGGAAAATCTTTCCCTGTGGGAAATCTTGTGCCTTTCAGCACTGACCAGTCCTGGCCCATCTGGGATGATTTTTCAAGGGAATATCCAGGGAATATCGGGGTTTTTCGAGGGAATATCGGGGTTTTTCGAGGGAATATCGGGGTTTTTCGAGGGAATATCGGGGTTTTTCGAGGGAATATCGGGGTTTTTCGAGGGAATATCGAGGTTTTCGAGGGAATATCGGGGTTTTTCGAGGGAATATCGGGGTTTTTCGAGGGAATATCGGGGTTTTTCGAGGGAATATCAAGGGAATATCGAGGCTTACCAAGGGAATGATACAGAGATGATAAGAGAGGAAAGTGGGCTGTCTGGAATTCCTGCAGGAGAACTGGGAGAGCCTGTGGATCCCAGAGCAGGTTGGCTTGGGAGGGACCCTTAAGGACCACCTGGATCCGACCCCCCTGCTCGGGGTGGGATCGTGGCCGCACTGAAGGGGGGGTTGAGCCGAGCAGGATTGGGGTGTTGTGTGGGCTCTGTGTCCCCCAGGAGGGGTTGCTGTGTGGGCTCTGCAGCCACCTCTGTCCCCCCTGTGCCCCCAGTGACGTGGTGGTGGTGGACAGCTGCCAGAGGGACGGCGTTCCCGACAGGGAGCAGTTCGGGAGGATGAAGCTGCTGCAGTTCAGCGAGAACCACCGGCCTGCCTACTGGGGCACCTGGAACAAGAGCACCACCCTCATCCGTGCCAGGAACCCCTGGGCCAAGGACAGTGTAAGCTCCTCTCTGCTGGGATTCCTTCTCTGTGCTCCAGCTCGCCCCAAATCCATGATTCCTGAGCTGCTTTCAGGGCTTTTGGGACTCCTAAGCGGGGTTTGGGTGACTCACGGAATATCTTGGGGTGTCTTGCAGAAACTGCTGGACTATGAAGTGGATAGTGATGAGGAATGGGAAGAGGAGGAGCCTGGAGAGAGTCTCTCCCACAGTGAAGAGGTGAGAGGGAAAAAACCAGATTTGGGAGCCAACTAAGGGGAGTGAGGGGGAAAAACCCACTTGGGAGCTCGTGGGTGTAATCGCTAATCAATTCGCTTTCAGGATGATGAAGAGGAGGGAGAGGACGAAGATGAGGACGATGGGTTTTTTGTACCCCATGGGTACCTATCTGAAGATGAAGGTGTGACAGAGGTAAGTGAGCTGGGTGCCCTTTGGCTTTCCAGGTGAGTTGTGGTTTTAGTGTCAACACTGGCAGGGCCGTGGCTCCCTCAGACCTGCACGGTTCAGGAGCGGCTTTGTGGGGCCCAGGGGATGTGACCCACAGCTCCTGTTGTTCCCTGCAGGGGGTGTGACAGGTCTGTGGTGTCCCCTGTTCCTTTAGGAGTGTGACCCAGAGAACCAGAAGGTCCGTCAGAAGCTGAAGGCCAAGGAGTGGGATGAACTCATCGCCAAGGGCAAGAGGTTCCACGTCCTGCAGCCTGTGAAGATAGGCTGTGTCTGGGGAAGGGGCAGAGCAGGACAGCGGCACAAACCCCGACCTCAAGGTTCTCCAGCAGTTCACAGCCTGTGTCCTGGACCCACCTGTGGCAGAGGAAGAGCAGCAGACCCAGAAGTGTAGCAAAAAAAGAGCCAGAGATCAGCAAAGTAAGACCTGAAGGGGCTCGGTGGTTGTGCTCTGCCGCAGGGTTTGTGCTGAGGGTTCAGTTCAGCATGGCCTGTTTCTGACCAGTCTGAAATCCAAGGAATCTCTGGGAGCTCTTGGAAAGGAGTTTTCTGGCAGTGCAGCTGGTGTGGCCTCAGTTAGGCTCTCCAAAAACTCGTGCTCTGCACGGTCTAGGAAATGAAGCCAACAAGACTTGAGCAGGCTCAGATTTAGGGTGGGCCTTGAGCACAGGGACCTGTTTATTGTTTGGAGGGAGAGGCTTTTGTTTGTGTGTTGGGTTTCAATCCTGAGCTTCTCCTGCACCTGATGCACACCAGGGTGGGAAGAACTCACAGAAAGGCTCAGTAGGGGTGAAGGTTCTATGGGGGGGGTGGATTTTCCTCCATCAAGTTTAGCTCTTGTTACAATCATGGGATCTCAGGATGGTTTGGGTTGGAAGGGACCTTTAAGATCACCCAGTCCCACCCCTGCCATGGGCAGGGACACTTCCCACTATCCTAGATGCCTCCAACCTGGCCTTGGACACTTCCAGGGATGGGGCAGCCACAACTTCTCTGGGAAGTCCATTCCAGCCCCTTCCCACCGTCCCAGGAGGAATTCCTTCCCCATATCCCCTCTCTCCCTGCCCTCTGACAGTGGGAAACCATTCCCCTTGTCCTGTCCCTCCATGCCTTGTCCCAAATCCCTCTCCAGCTCTCCTGGAACCCCTTCGAACATTTTGGGGTAAGATAGAAGTAACCAGGGAGGGTTTTTTTTGGGGGGTAAAATCTAGGGAATCATGAATATTTTGGGATTAAAATCTGAGGTAACCTGTAGGGGACAGAGAGATCCTTATGAGTAAAAACTGAGGTAAGGAGCAGGTGACGTTTTGGGTATAAAATTGAGGGGAAAATCTTTCCCTCTGGGAAATCTTGTGCCTTTCAGCACTGGCCAGTCCTGGCCTATCTGGGATGATTTATCAAGGGAATATCCAGGGAATATCGGGGTTTTTCAAGGGAATATCGGGGTTTTTCCAAGGGAATATCGGGGTTTTTCCAAGGGAATATCGTGGTTTTTCAAGGGAATATCGGGGTTGTTCAAGGGAATATCGGGGTTGTTCAAGGGAATATCGGGGTTGTTCAAGGGAATATCGGGGTTGTTCAAGGGAATATCGGGGTTGTTCAAGGGAATATCGGGTTGTTCAAGGAATATCGGGTTGTTCAAGGGAATATCGAGGCTTACCAAGGGAATATCGAGGCTTACCAAGGGAATATCGAGGCTTACCAAGGGAATATCGAGGCTTACCAAGGGAATATCGAGGCTTACCAAGGGAATATCGAGGGAATATCGAGGCTTACCAAGGGAATAATACAGAGGTGATAAGGGAGGAAAGTGGGCTGTCTGGAATTCCTGCAGGAGAACTAGGAGAGCCTGTGGATCCCAGAGCAGGTTGGCTTGGGAGGGACCCTTAAGGACCACCTGGATCCGACCCCCCTGCTCGGGGTGGGATCGTGGCCGCACCGAGGGGGCGTTGAACCGAGCAGGATTGGGGTGTTGTGTGGGCTCTGTGTCCCCCAGGAGGGGGGTGCTGTGTGGGCTCTGCAGCCACCTCTGTCCCCCCTGTGCCCCCAGTGACGTGGTGGTGGTGGACAGCTGCCAGAGGGACGGCGTTCCCGACAGGGAGCAGTTCGGCAGGATGAAGCTGCTGCAGTTCAGCGAGAACCACCGGCCTGCCTACTGGGGCACCTGGAACAAGAGCACCACCCTCATCCGTGCCAGGAACCCCTGGGCCAAGGACAGTGTAAGCTCCTCTCTGCTGGGATTCCTTCTCTGTGCTCCAGCTCGCCCCAAATCCATGATTCCTGAGCTGCTTTCAGGGCTTTGGGGACTCCTAAGCGAGGTTTGGGTGACTCACGGAATATCTTGGGGTGTCTTGCAGAAACTGCTGGACTATGAAGTGGATAGTGATGAGGAATGGGAAGAGGAGGAGCCTGGAGAGAGTCTCTCCCACAGTGAAGAGGTGAGAGGGAAAAAACCAGATTTGGGAGCCAACTAAGGGGAGTGAGGGGGAAAAACCCACTTGGGAGCTCGTGGGTGTAATCGCTAATCAATTCGCTTTCAGGATGATGAAGAGGAGGGAGAGGACGAAGATGAGGACGATGGGTTTTTTGTACCCCATGGGTACCTATCTGAAGATGAAGGTGTGACAGAGGTAAGTGAGCTGGGTGCCCTTTGGCTTTCCAGGTGAGTTGTGGTTTTAGTGTCAACACTGGCAGGGCCGTGGCTCCCTCAGACCTGCACGGTTCAGGAGCGGCTTTGTGGGGCCCAGGGGATGTGACCCACAGCTCCTGTTGTTCCCTGCAGGGGGTGTGACAGGTCTGTGGTGTCCCCTGTTCCTTTAGGAGTGTGACCCAGAGAACCAGAAGGTCCGTCAGAAGCTGAAGGCCAAGGAGTGGGATGAACTCATCGCCAAGGGCAAGAGGTTCCACGTCCTGCAGCCTGTGAAGATAGGCTGTGTCTGGGAGGGGGCAGAGCAGGACAGCGGCACAAACCCCGACCTCAAGGTTCTCCAGCAGTTCACAGCCTGTGTCCTGGACCCACCTGTGGCAGAGGAAGAGCAGCAGACCCAGAAGTGTAGCAAAAAAAGAGCCAGAGATCAGCAAAGTAAGACCTGAAGGGGCTCGGTGGTTGTGCTCTGCCCCGGGGAGAGAGCTGAGGGTTCAGTTCAGCATGGCCTGTTCCTGACCAGTCTGAAATCCAAGGAATCTCTGGGAGCTCTTGGAAAGGAGTTTTCTGGCAGTGCAGCTGGTGTGGCCTCAGTTAGGATCTCCAAAAACTCGTGCTCTGCACAGTCTAGGAAGTGCAGCTAACAAGACTTGAGCAGGCTCAGATTTAGGGTGGGCCTTGAGCACAGGGACCTGTTTATTGTTTGGAGGGAGAGGCTTTTGTTTGTGTGTTGGGTTTCAGTCCTGAGCTTCTCCTGCACTTGATGCACACAGGGGTGGGAAGAACTCGCAGAAAGGCTCAGTAGGGGTGAAGATTTCATGGGGGGGGTGGGATTTTCCTACATCAAGTTTAGCTCTTGTTACAATCATGGGATCTCAGGATGGTTTGGGTTGGAAGGGACCTTTAAGATCACCCAGTCCCACCCCTGCCATGGGCAGGGACACTTCCCACTATCCTAGATGGCTCCAAGCTGGCCTTGAACACTTCCAGGGATGGGGCAACCACAGCTTCTCTGGGAAGTCCATTCCAGCCCCTTCCCATCCTCTCAGGAGGAATTCCTTCCCCATATCCCCTCTCTCCCTGCCCTCTGACAGTGGGAAACCATTCCCCTTGTCCTGTCCCTCCATGCCTTGTCCCAAATCCCTCTCCAGCTCTCCTGGAACCCCTTCATGCCCTGGAAGGGGCTCTGAGGTCTCCCTTGAGCCTTCCCTTCTCCAGCCTGGCCTTGAGCAGCCACAACTTTTCTGGGCAATCCCATCCTAAAAACGAATCCCAGGCTCTTTATTTCCCTTCTGGAAACTGTGCTGATGGGTTTTATTTATTTATTTTTTACCCCCAACCAGGCTTTTCCTGAACTTTTAACCCATTGTTTTCCCCCCCCACCTCTGTCCCCCCCAGTCCTGGGCCACCTCCTGCCTCTGCTGCACGGCAACGTCAACGGGAGCAAGGTGATCATCCAGGAATTCCAGGAGTGCTGCCGGCAGGGACTGTTCAGTGGCGCGGCCGGGGGCAGCCAGGGGAGCCCCCTAAACCCCCAGCCCCCCTGTGGGGGGGAGGACATTGGGGTGCCCTCCAAGGCCAGGCTAAAGAGGATCATCTCGGAGAGCTCGGTGTACGAGAAGCGGCCCGAGCACCGCATGTGCTGGTACGTGCACATGGACGTGCTCCGCAGCTTCCAGCAGGAGCACCTGCCCGTGCCCTGCCAGTGGAACTACGTCACCCAGGTGCCCTGCTCCGGGCTGCCCTGTGGGGTGAAGGAGGAGGGGACCCCCGTGTTGGGCACGGTTGGACCGCAGAGCAACCCCGCGCCGGCCAAGAGGAAGGGCGTGGGCAGCATGTCCATCACCAGGTTCATGAAGAGAGCGCGGAGGGACGGGCAGGTGAGTGGCTGCAGGGGGGAGGGGTGGCCAGGGGGGTCATTCCTGGTGAGAGGTGGGCAGGGTGGTCATTCCCAGTGGTCAGGGTGGTCATTCCCAGTGGTCAGGGTGGTCATTCCCAGTGGTCAGGGGGGTCATTCCCAGTGAGGGGTGGTCAGGGTGGTCAGGGTGGTCATTCCCAGTGTTCAGGGTGGTCATTCCCAGTGAGGGGTGGTCATTCCCAGTGTTCAGGGTGGTCATTCCCAGTGGTCAGCATGGTTATCCCCAGTGAGGGATGGTCAGGGTGGTCATTCCCAGTGAGGGATGTCCAGGGTGGTCATTCCCAGTGAGGTAGGCAGGGTGGTCATTCCCAGTGAGGGGTGGTCAGGGTGGTCATTCCCCAGTGAGAGGAGTGGTCAATGGTGGTCATTCCCAGTGAGGGTGTCAGGTGGTCACTCCCAGTGAGGGATGTCACGGAGGGTGGCATGTCATCCCAGTGGTCAGGAGTGGTCATGACAGTGCCCTGTGGTCATTCCCAGTGAGGGATGGTCAGGGTGGTCATTCCCAGTGGTCAGGGTGGTCACTCCTCAGTGAGGGGTGGTCAGTGTGGTCATTCCCAGTGAGGGATGGTCATGGTGGTCATTCTTAGTGGTCAGGGTGGTCATTCCCAGTGGTCAGCATGATCACCCCCAGTGAGGGATGCTCAGGGTGGTCATTCCCAGTGAAGGGTGGTCACCCCAGTGAGGGATGGTCAGGGTGGTCATTCCCAGTGGTCAGGGTGGTCATTCCCAGTGAGGGATGGTCAGGGTGGTCATTCCCAGTGAGGGGTGGTCAGGGTGGTCATTCCCAGTGAGGAACATTCAGGGTGTTCGTGTTCAGGGTGTTGATTCCCACTTTGGAGTGTTCAGGGTGTTGATTCCCAATGTTCAGGCTGTCCCTCCCCAGCTGGGAATGGGGCTGGGTGTATTTTTTGGAACCCCCATCTCCAAACACAAACTCCTGCCTTTCACACCAGAAAAGCCCTTGGATGGGGACAGGAGTGAAATCACAGCACCAAAGAGATGAGTTCCTCTCGTGAGGGACTCTCTGTTCCACTGGGAACATTCCTGTCCTGCTGTTCCTCCATCCTCTGCTCTCTGGCACTGACTGCATCCAAGCTGGGAATATTTGGAGTGTCTGCTTGGCCCTGGTTTTCCAGCTGTGTGTGATTTGTGTCAGGTTTTGATGTGCCAGAGGCACAGCCCGGGCTGGGCACTCACAGCTGATTAAATGTGTTCCCCCAGTGCTGCCTGTGGAGCCTCCAGCTCATCCTGACACACAGGGAGCTGGAATTGCAAGTGCTGGGTTAAAAACAATAATTCAGAGGTGCACAGGGAGGGGGAATTTGCAGGTGTGATGTTCAGGAGCTTTGCTGTGGTTTTCCTCTTGCTGCTTCTCCTGCTTTCCAGGGTGACCTCAGGTGGTGGTGGAGCTTAATCATCCCAAAGGATGGCTGAGGAATGTGCTCATGGGGTCATGGAATGGTTTGGGTTGTTGTTCCAACCTGGCCTTGGACACTTCCAGGGATGGGGCAGCCACAGCTGCTCTGGGAAGTCCATTCCAGCCAATTCCCACCCTCCCAGGAGGAATTCCTTCCCCATATCCCCCCTAATCCTGCCCTCTGGCAGTTTGAAGCCGTTCCCTGTTGTCCTGGCACTCCAGGCCCTTGGAAACGTTCCCTCTCCATCTCCATTTATTCCCCATGTCCCGTGCACCAGGTCAGGAAAGGATCCAAGAATAGTTTGGGTTGGAAGGGACCTCAAAGCTCATCTCATCCCACCCCCTGCCTTGGACCTCAGATGAGGCTTTTGATGCTTTTGATGCTTTTCCTTCCCAATCTATTCTTGGCTTTTTTTCTTTTTTTTTTTGCCTTTTCCCCTGCAAAAGCTCAGCATTCAGGTACTGATGGAGATCAGAGACTTGTGAGAAGCTGCTCAGCCCCCAAACTCCATCTGCTTGGGGTTTTTTTTTTGTGTTTTTTTTTCTTTTCTGGAGCACTAAATAAAGGCAGGGAGATAAAAGTCTCTGCTTGGCACCCACTGGAAATTCAGCAGGAACAGCAAAACAAAAGCTTGGAGGAGAATGACATCACCAATGCCTGGATGTTTGCGAGCTCCTTAAAGCTGTGCTGCAAAAAGGTGTCACCATCCCCCCAAAAAAAAAAAAAGGATGTCCAAATCAGCCCTGCCTTGGGATTGAGAGCCCAACCAACCTGTTGAGCCGGGTTGGAAGCTCAAGGGAGAAGGGCTGGGAGGGCACAGCTGCCACATTTCCCCTCCCCTGGCACGTGTTTCCTTGCCCTGAAGCTCCAAAGCAGGACTTGTGCAAGCAAAAGGTGATTTTTTTTTTACAGAAGCTGGAGGGAGAGGAGTGTGGGTGTTGGAGTGGGCAGTGCCTGCCCACGTGGGGGGAGGAGCCTTCATCTGTCAGCTGGAAAGGTGGAAAATTGAGAATTCCTTGGCTTGGGTGGGGATGGGGGATCAGGGTTGTCATTTTCCAGCTGAAGGGTAAAAACAAAAATAATAATTTAAAAAAAAAAAAACCTCACAGCTGGGCAGCTTCAGCCACCCCTTGTATTGGGGTTTTTCCACTCAAAATGAGGCAGTTTGGGTTTGTTTTTTCTGTGGGCAGGGCAGGAAGAATTGTCACCTTTTCCCCCTTCCCCCTCAGCCTGGATAAAAGCTGATTGACAAAGGTGAGGAGGTCACAGGTCAGACCTGAGGAGAAAAAGTTGTTTTTCCACCTTCAGGAGGAAGAAAACACCCGAAAATTGGGAGAAAAGGAGGCTCAGGGGGGACCTTCTCACCCTGACAGGAGAGGGGGGAGCCAGGTCGGGCTCTGCTCCCAGGGAACAAGGGCCAGGACGAGGGGAAAATGGCTTCAGGTTGTGCCAGGGGAGGTCTAGAGTGGATATTAGGGAGGATTTCTCCCTGGAAAGGGATTTTCAGGGAATGGCTCAGCTGCCCAGGGCAGGGGGAGTCCCCACCCCTGCAGGGGTTGAACAGCCACGTGGATGTGGCTTAGGGGTTGGACTCGAGGATCCTGGAGATCCAACCTCAATGATTCTGTGATTCCATGAAAACAATCAGCTGGGGGTTGGTGGGGGGAGAGATTTCCCTTCCAAAAATCCACCAGAATCCAACAGAGTCAGATCCCCCCCAAGGCCCGAGCCGAGCTCTGCGTGGGCTGCTCAGCCCGTTGTGTAAGAGGGAAAAATCTTGGAGCAGGAGCCTGGCACCTTTCCCACTGTTTGTGCCACTGCAGATGAGGCCTTTTGGTCAAAGCCAGTGCCTGCTGGAGCTGGGAATTGCTGACTTTTTAATTTTTTTTTTTAATTTATTTATTCCCTTCCCTCCAAACGTGCCCCCCTCCCTGCTCAGAGTGTGCCCCTGGCCCCGGTGCCACCCTGCCCTTGCTGTACACCACACCTGGTACCTGTTCTCCCCCTCCAGGCTGAAGCTGTGGAGATGGATGGGTTTCAGGCAGACACCGAGGAAGATGAGGAAGATGATGACTGCATGATTGTGGATGTACAGCCAGCAAAAGGTGGGAATGCTGACACTCCCCCCAGGGAGAGCACGGCAGAGCAGGGACAGTGGGCACCCAAACTTGAGGTTTTTCTGCCCCTTTTTTCCCCATTCCTTGAGCTTTTCTCTCTCCATCTTTTATCCTAAACACTTCTCTGCTTGTTATCATTTTTTTTTTTTTGCCTGGGTGCTTCTTTGCTATTTCTGGTCTCCTCTAACCTGCTCCTGCCTTTTCTTTCCCTCCTCCTCCTCCTCCTCCCTCCTAAATAGCACAAAAACACTTGTGACTAGCACTTGGCTGCCAGTGTTACCTGTTTATTTCTGGGAAGTTAAAAAAAGGGCAGCATTAAGGGTTTGTATCCAGCAGATCCATTAATTATTGGGGAATGCTGCTGCTCCCTGGGGTGCTCAGAGCCCTTCCAAGGTGTGGGGTTGTGGGTGGAGGAAATAACACCGGGCACCAGCCACGCTCTGCTCCCCAAATCCCAGCAGCTCCTGGGCTTTGTGTCCCAGTTATCCCTTGGAAAAGGGTTTCAAACCCACCCCTTCTGTGGTGCAGGGGGTGTGGGGAGGACGTGGAGCAGCTCCTTTGATCTCGAGGAGGGTTTTTCAGCCGTGTCGATGATGCCGGGCGCGTGACGTGGCTCCCAAACCCCGCAGCTCCTTCCCTGCTGCCCTCCCAGAGCAGCAATCCCAGCACAACCCCCCACCCCTGAGTTCAGCCAAGTAGGGGTTTTGTGTCAGGCAGCTCCTCCTCCTCCAGAGCACGTGAATTCTGGAGGGTCTGAACCATCCCAGGCAGATCTCCTTTCTCTCTGGAGCTGCTGCTCCATCCTCTCCCACCTCCCAATAAAAAAAACAACAAACTGCTTGACAAGCAGCTTGGTTTTAAATCTCTAAGCTGCTTTTGCTTCATTACCAGGGCTCTGAGAGATGAAAAAAACCTCGCCTCAGGTTTGTCACCCCCTTGTTCTGGAGGTGCTTCCCCCCCTTTGGGCTCTGCTGACACAAAATGCTTGTTTAGCTCTGCCCGACTCAAAAAGCACTGAAAAGATGATGAAAATCCCTTTTTTTTTTAGTGGTTGAAGTGATTTGTCTTTATTATTTTATTTTTTTTTATTTTATTCTGGATGGGTGATAATAAATACAAAATCAACATTTAAAGCCGGTTTTGAAGCAAGGGGGGAGAAGGAGGCTGAGACAACACAGGGAGTAGATAAATTCTGCTGGATTAACGAGGTGATTTAACAACAAACCCAACGTGTTTTGTCCTTTGCAGACTCTACAGCTTCAGAACCCAGTGGTACAAGAGCTGCTCCCCAGGACACCAGCCCAACTGATACAGTTTGAGACTTAAAATGCCTACTAACTCCTCTGTATGTATGTAGAATGAGTTAGAAAACTTTAAACCCTGTGTATCTTTGCCCAAGATACTTGAAAGTATTCCACATTTCTTGTAAAGAGAAGACAGCACTTTGTTCTGCTTCAGCCCAGATGGAAGCTTAAATGTTTTTTTTTAATTAGTTCTAGCTTTTTAGCTTGGTTTTTTTTAATTAAAAAAAAAAAACAAAAAACAAAAAACCACAAAACTGCATATTAATCTGACCTTAATAAAGCATTATTGAAATTTTGATACTTCTTTGTAATGGAAGGTATCTAAGTTATCTCTAAGAGGAGCTGAGGGATTTTTTGGGATAAGCTTATTGTGATGCCACGGGGTGGGGGGGGGGAATGACTGTTCATAATGTTGTACAGCGTGGCCTTGGCTATAAATGATGTACAATTATATATGGATTTATGCTCTTGTACCATCCTGTCTGTGGTTTTGCTTGCTACAGAGAACAGCACATTTGGAAAGAGGGGGAGGAAAAAAAAAAAGGTATCTTGTTGCTCTTATTTTGGAATTAATTACAGGTCAGGGGATGATTCTCAGTCCCCTCGTTTACATCAGAGCTTGTCTCTGGCCCACGGGAAAACATGAAGGTTGAGGTATAAAGGAGTAAACTGAGGTATAAAGGACTAAACTGGCATCAAACCTGGTGGGATAGGGAACAAAGTGCCGTTTTCTGGGATTTGTGGGTTATTAATTAGTCCCTTAAAAGGGAGTTCATGTCCCCAGTGGGCACCACCAGCAGCCAGGACCTGCTGTCAGTCTCAGGCTGCCCCAGTAACACCAGTGCCAGCCCCAGCCCTGACTGGTTTGGCATTCCCAACCCCTCACAGTGCAATTCAAATCACTTGGAGCAGAACTGAGTCTTTAAATAATTCCATTTAATCGCACTAAGTGTCACCTTACCCCAATATATTCTCTCCCGCAGGAGTTACAGTGCACACAGAAGCAAAAGGGGCAGCTGAGTTCTAAACCCAGCCCCACCCCCCCGAGGCTCAGGTTGGTGATCCAGCCTAGCAGCACTAATCCCTGCTCCACCACTGCCTTGGGAACACCCTCCTGGAATGTGGTGCTTAAAGCCCCCTGGAGCAGCCCAGGAGGTGCCTCCCTGGGCGAGGCCGCGGCTCCTGGAGCTGCGTGGGGACAGAGTGCGGGGTCTGCACAGCCCCCCCACCGTCCCCTGTGAGGGCACACAGCTGGCAGCTGCTGGGAAAGGGAGGGAAGAGTCTAAAAACAGCAGCACTGAGCCCACTGCCCTTTATTTCAGGGGAGGGTCTGCACCCTGGCCAGGAGCTCCGGCCTCAGGGGGCTGTGGGGCTGCTCCTCTCCTGCTGCCTCGATGTCTGCCATGACCGCTGCGTCCCAGGACAGGCTCAGGAGGGCTGAGGGCACCTGCCACGGGAGAGGCACGTTAGTGAGCTGGAAAATCAGGGAATGCTTTGGGGTGGAAGGGACTTGAGAGCTCAGCTTGTTCCACACCCACCCTCCCCACACACACAGCGTGGGCAGGGACACCTCCCACCACACCAGGTTGCTCCTTGGGCACTTCCAGGGATGGAACATCCCCAGTTTCTCTGGGCTTGTAACGCTCTGTGCCCGTTCCCAGAGCTGGGAAAGCTTCAGCTAAAATGGACAAGGGTGGATTTCTGCGAGAAGCTCCTTCTGGGAGACGCTGCTTTGGGCTTTTCTGTTCGTGTCCCTGCCTTGCCTTTGCTGCCTTTCCCTCTTTTCCCAGTGTGGACGCTCAGCCCCCTGCAGTTCCCTCCAGACTCTGAAGCCTCCAAGCAGTTCCTTTGTTTGCTTGTGCTTAAAACGAGGGGCCAGGGCACAACCTGGGGCTCTGAAAGCTGAAGACACACCCCAAGCTCTGAGACTGTATTGGAAAGTGCTCTCTAAAATGAAAGTTCTCTCTAAAAGCAGCTGAGGGATTTTGGAACAAGCTTAGTGGGGGACTCTGTGGAAGGTACCAACTCTCACTGGCTTTTTTTTTTTTCTTTTTCCACTCACCAGCCCACATTCATTGAAGGCCAAGTTCTCATCAGTGAGTTTGAGACCTCCAGGCCCCAGCAGCTCAAAGGGCAGCCAGTCATCTCTGAGTGCTTCCCTCACGAAGCTGTAGAGCACAGACACGGCTTCTCGGGCGTAAAACGTCCCTGCCATGAGAGAAACGAGGTGAGGGAGCGTGGCCTTTCCCAAAAATCCAACCTTTTGTGGCCCCTTCTGACTGCCTCAACTACTTCAGTGCCACGCAGCCAGGCTGATTTAACCCAAAATGCATGAAAGCAGAGTGCCCAAAGAAAGTTCTTCCATTGTTGCAAGCCCCTGCCAGGCTGTGACAAAGAGCTGGGAGAGCCTGAAGTGATTTCCAGAGTTCTGCTGGAAGATTGGAAGGGGATTTATGTTGTTGTACAGCCTGACACCACACAGGGCAGCCTCCTGCTGGTTCCTGTGACACGCTGGTCTAATGAGTCCAGCTTGTTCCCAGAGGTTTGGGAAGAGGAGACTTTAATTAATGAAGCCTTGGGATTCCTCCCCACCTTTAAAATCCCAACCCTGAGATGGAGATGGGAATTCTTGGAGAAACATCCCGCTCTAGTTTGGTGTTTTACTCTACGAGCTGTGTTAATAGTCAGCTTTTTATCCTACAAGCACCTTCAGAAGGTGCCCAAAGGCAGGATGAGGAGGGTGAGGAGCCTTTTTTTTTACCTTGGAGGATGTATCCGTCAGGAAAGCGCACTCGGAGCAGGGTGTAGTTGTACTTCCTCATCTCCCTCTGCTCCTCCTTCTCCCTCATGGCTCTTGTCCTCAGCATCGAGGCCTTCTCCACTGCCTCTGTCCTGCGGGGAGAGACCCTTTCAGGCACCAGGGATGGGGACAAAGTGGGACAACAGGGACTGGCTGGCATCCCCTGGCCCCTCCTGCTGCTCCAGCCCCTCAGGACAAACCCAGGATCATACCAGTGCCAGGGTCTGTGTTGGGTCATGGGTTGGACTGGACGATCTCAGAGGTCTTTTCCAACCTGGCTGATTCTGTGGGACAAACCCCTGGCTGGCACCCCCCTGGTCCCTCCTCCTGCTGCTCCAGGCCCTCAGGACAAACCCTTCCAGCCCCTCAGGAGAGGGACAACCCCCCAGCCCCTCCTCCTGTTCCAGCCCTCACCGCAGCCGCTGCTCCCTGCGGATCTCATCAGCGCTGAGGTTGTAGAAGTCGTCGGGCAGCTCGAACCTGGCGGCCGCAGGGGAGGGCTGGAACAGGCGGGGCTGCCGGTCCAGCCGAGCCCGCAGGGGCTCCGAGCTCAGCAGCTGCTCCTTGCGCTCCTTGAGGTCCTCCAGCCGGGCCAGCACCTCCTCCTTGAGCACGTAGAACTGCTCCTCCTCGGGGCCATCTGCAACCAGGCGGGCAGGGGGCTGTGCCCGGATCCCCCCGGCTGCAAAGCCTGGCCCCTAAACACCCTGCTTAACCTCAGCACCTGCCAGCTCTGCTCCCTGGAAACCCCCTTCCCCTGGAAACCCCCTTCCCCTGGAAACCCCCTGCTCCCAGCAAACCCCACTCCACTGAAACCCCCATTCCCTGCAAACCCCGTTTTTTTGCAGACCCCACTCCCTGCAAACCCCAATACCTGAAAACCTCGTTCTGAAAACCTCATTCCCCCAGTACCTGCAAACCCCACTCCCAGCAAACCCCAATTCCTGCAAACCCAATTCCCCTGAAAACCCCATTCCCTGTAAGCCCAATTCCCCTGAAAACCCCGCTCCCCACAAACCCCATTTCCCCACAAACCCCATTTCCCTGCAAACCCCACTCCCTTTTGAGGCTCTTGGTCTTTCCAGGAACAACATAGGAAACAGAAGGGGAAGGATCTTTGGAAAATGTCGTGTCTTGCCAGAGAGCCCTCCCCAAACCCCACATCACCACTCTGGCCTTCCTTGCCTTGCCCTGGAACAGGCAGCGTTTTGTCTCAAACCCCACAGCCTGGAAAAACTTGTGTGCCCCTTCCAAGCAGCTTATCCTTTCCTGGAAGGGAAGGACAGGATTTAGATGGAGTTTGCTCCAAGCAAAGGAAACTTTCCGAGGCCGGGCAGCTGCAGGAACCCCGAGCTCACCTGAAACACCTTGTTCTGCAGTTTGATTTTCCGGTATTTCTCCTCCTCTGGATGGAGGTAGATGTTGTCCAGGTACCTGCAGGAAGAGGGAGGCACTGCATGGAGCAAAGCATGGATCTTCCAAGGCAGAACAGGAAACAGAGACCTCAGAGTATCTCTCACAGAGAAAAGAGGTGAGTGAAATACATCAGCGTTTCCAAACCTCCTGGCTTGGTGGCCCAACTGCTCATTTTCAAACACCTCCAGGATGCTGAAATTGGGTCAACTGACAATTCAGGTGTTTCTTCCCCAAAATAAAACCCCCACTTTGCCTGGAGCACAGCAAGAAAACCCACCTGGGAAAGGGCCGAGCCCCCCGTGCCCTCAGTCCCACCAAGGCAGCCCCGCTCACTTGGCCATGGTCTCCACGCCCACCCGGACCTTCTCCCGGTCCTTGTTGAAGGTGTGGATCTCCATGATGGAAGCAGCCACTGGATCCACGGAGAAATACTGGGGGAGAAGGAGAGGAGCTGGTCAGGGAGGAGCTGAGCCCAACTCAGCACCACGTTTGTTCCTCCCCACAGTGGGATAATAAAACACCCCGTGGGGTGGGATAAAACACCCCTAAAGGTGGTTCAACAGGTAAAGTTAAATTGTCCTGGGGGAGATTTTACAGGGAGAAGGTTGGAGAGGTCACTGGAGGGGACACAAAAGGAGTTGGAGGAGGAGGAGGAAGGAAAGCACTCACTGCCTGGATGGCTTCCCGGAGCTGCTTTTCCTTCTGGTCTTTCCTCACCACGGCGCCGGTCAAGGGGCAGATAAAATAGACCCCCGAGACAGAGGGAGCAGCTGCCCCTTCCTCCTGCTCCTGAAGGAGGGAAAACCAGGCACCAAACTGAGCTTGGCTCGGGTTTGCCTGTTGTTTAACACCCTGGCTGATCCCCACAGGGCAGGCAGAGCAGGGAAGGGCAGCACCTCCCTCACCTTCTCCTCCTCGGGGAGCCCCTTCTCGCTGGCAGCTGCCTCGGCCATCAGCTCTCTCCTCACTAGGAGACACAAACCCTGGTTACAGCACGGGCTCAGCACATTCCAGAGGCTTTGGGACAGCACAGGGGAGGGGAACACCTGGGGAAGGGAACAACACCTGCCCAGGTGCTGCGTCCCAGCCCAAGGGTGACTGTGACCCTGACCCCATTCCCATCGCGCTCAAGCAGCTCCCTGTGTCCCACCCGGGCAGTTTTCCACCCGGGATCGCCATCCCCGGGCTCTGGCGGAGCTCCAGCCGTTCCTACCCTGGTTCTTGATGGATTCCTGGGAGCAGGAAGGTGCCTTTCCCTTGGGCTTCAGCTCGAGCCGGGCCAGCGCTGCGGCCGCCGCCATCTGAGCCTCGTCCGTCGGGGCCTGCCGGGGCTTGGGGGCCGCCTCGGCTTTGGGCTTCTCCCTGGGGGCCCTGGGAGGGGGGGCACGGGCTTGGTGACCCCCCTCGGGATTAATTAGGGTGTGGGTTATGGGGGGTTAATTAAGGGAACAGGGGGACACCCCTTCCTGCACAGGGATACCCCCCAAAAGGAACAGAACACCCCACGGCCCAGCCCAGGGGGGGTTCATGTAGAGGTTGGGGGTTAATTAGGGGGGTGTTCATTAGAAGAGGGAGGGTAGGGTCTCATTTTGGGGAGGGGGGGGGAGTGCACAACACACCCTCTTCTAGGCAGGGGCTCCAAAATGAATAACACCCCTTTTTTCCCCCAGGATAAGGGGGAATGACCCAAACCGGGGAAAACGACCCAAACCCCAAGGCAAACGACCCAAACCGGAGGATAACGACCCAAACTCGGAGAAAACGACCCAACCGTCGGGAAAATTACACAAAACCGGGGATAACGACCAAAACCGGGGATAACGACCCAAACCGAAGGATAACGACCCAAAACCGGGGATAACGACCCAAAACGAAGGATAACGACCCAAACCGGAGGATAACGACCCAAATGGGGGGATAACGACCCCAAACCGGGGGAAAACGACCCAAACCCGGCCCCACGGAGCGGGGACACCGCTGTCCCCCGGGGGATGCGCCGGTCCCGGGGACCCCCGGGGGATGTGCCGGGGTCGGTCCCGGTGTGTCCCCCGTTCCCTCAGGGAGGCCCGGGGGGTCCCGGGGATGGCTCCCGATCCCCCCCGCACCCATCCCCCGTTACCGGGACGGCTCCGAGAGCTTCTGCCCGGGCCCCGCCGTCTTGAACTTCAGGTCGGCCTTGATCTCCTGGAAGAACTTGCGCATGGCGGGGCCGGGAACGCCGGGACGGGGCCGGGATGGGATGGGGAGCGCCGGGACAGGGATGGGGAGCGCCGGGACAGGATCAGGAGCACCGGGACAGAGATCGGGAGCACCGGGACAGGGCCGGGATGGGATCGGGAGCACCAGGACAGGGATCGGGAGCACCGGGAGCTCCGGGCCAGGGCCGGGCCCCGCCCGCCTTTCCGGCCCGCCCTCACCGTCACCGGAACGGGCCGGGCCCGGCCCCGCTCGGGCCCCGGCGGAGGCGAGGATGGAACTCACGGACCCCCACGGACCCCGCGGCACCGCCAGGCTGCACCCAGAGACCCCCACGGACCCCCACAGACCCCATGCCTGCACCCACCGACCCCTCCGGACCCCAGGCCTTCACCCACGGACCCCACACCCGCACCCACGGACCCCCACAGACCCCAGACCCCCACCCACAGAGCCCAGGCACCCTCTGGGTTTGCACCCATTCACTGCCACGGACCCCAGACCCGCACCCACAGAGCCCCGCAGGCTCCAGACCTGCACCCATGGGACCCCAGGCACCCCCTAGGCTTGCACTTGCCCAAAACCTGAGGATGGACACACCCCCTGCAAGTCAGGCTGTTCCACGAGGTTTAATTCCACAGCACAACAACTCCTCCTGGGACACGGGACACTCCCTGCCGAGGAAGGGGCTGCCATGGGCAGGATCAGGGGGACCCCCACCCCAAATGGGGGGGGTCTGTGTTCACCTGGGCAGGGGCAGCTGTGGAGCAGCTCCTGGCACTGCTGCTCCGGTGGCATCGGCACAGGGAGCAACCGCTGGGACACCCTGGTGGCAACCAGGGCCACAAACACAGGGGTGAAGGAACAATCCAGTGGGGATTCCTGGACTGAGACATGGAACAACTGGGCCCACAGCACAGGAGATGCTGTGGAGGACACAGAGACCCCAGAGAACCGCTGGGATATGGCACAGATGGGATATGGCATGGACTGGATATGGCACAGATGGGATATGGTATAGACTGGATATGGCACAGCCAGGACATGGCACAGCCTGGATTTGGCACGGCCCAGCAGGAGTGAGGGCTCACCTACAGTGTGAACTCCCAACACCCTCCAGACACCCCTCACTCCATGAATTCCATCTGGCAAAGCCGGTTGGAATTTCCTCTCAACACACCCCATGGGTTGTCCCCACACCTCCCCCAGGGCCATGTTCCCCCTGGGAACAGTGTCTCCCCCACGGCATGCTTTGATGTTTTGGGTTTTGTTCCCACTGGGAACAGCCCGGTGTGGGCAGAGCCTGCGTTTCTGTGACCTTGCAGATAATCGAGTTTGGGTTAAACCCAAACACAACCCTTGTGCCTCCCATAGCCCTCAGGCCCTTCCCCACATCCCTGTGACCCCTGTCCCCCTCCATACATCCCTGATGCCCTTCATATCCCTGTGATCCCCCAGCCCTGCCTCTCTCCATATCTCTGTCCCCATATCCCATATCCCCAAGGCCCTGTGACCCCCCCAGCCTTGTGACCCCGCCAGTCCTGTCCCCCTCCCATATCCCTGTCCCCCCCATATCCCCATGACCCCCCTCCCCATATCCCTGTCCCCCTCCCCTACCCCTGTCCCCCAATTATCCCCCTGTCTCCCTTCCCTACCTCTGTTCACCCCATACCCCTGTCCCCCTCCCCATATCCCTGTCCCCCATACCCCTGTCCCCTCCCCTACCCCTGTCTCCCCATACCCCCATGACCCCCTCCCCATATCCCTGTTCCCTCCCATATCCCTGTCCCCCTCCCTTAACCCTGTCCCCCAATTATCCCCTGTTTCCCTTCCCTACCTCCTGTTCCCCCATATCCCTGTCCCCCTCCCTACCCCTGTCCCCCCATATCCCCATGACCCCCTCCCCATATCCCTGTCCCCTCCCACATCCCTGTCCCCTCCCCTACCCCTGTCTCCCCCATACCCCCATGACCCCCCTCCCCATATCCCTGTCCCCCATACCCCCCATGAACCCCCTCCCCATATCCCTGTCCCCTCCATACCCCTGTCCCCCTCCCCATATCCCTGTCCCCTCCCCTACCCCTGTCCCCCACACCCCCATGACCCCCTCCCCATATCCCTGTCCCCTCCATACCCCTGTCCCCCTCCCCATATCCCTGTCCCCCTCCCCATATCCCTGTCCCCCCATACCCCCATGACCCCCTCCCCTCAAGCCCCGCCCCCCCCAGCGCCCCCCGCTTCGGCGCCTCCGGCGGCGCGGCCCAATCCCGTTATCCCGCCGGGCCGCCTCCTCGCTTCCATTGGCCAGAGCCGCTGATCGACATCCCCGCGGACCAACCGGCGGCTCGGAAGCGGCCGGGGGCGGGACATCCTGCGTGCCGTGCGGCGCGGGCCGCCCCCGCCGCCCGCCCGGAGCTGCCGCGGCCTGGGCTGGGCCTGCCCGCGCCCGGTGCCCCCCGGTGCCCCCCCGGCACCGCCCGGAGCCGCCATGCCACACAGCTTCAAACCCGGAGACCTCGTCTTCGCCAAGATGAAGGGCTACCCGCACTGGCCGGCCCGGGTGAGAGACCTGCGGGGCCGCGCCGCAACCCCCCCCCCCCCACCTCACCTCCTAACCCCGGGGAAGGGAACGGGGGGTCCCGGACCGGGATGGGGGTGGGAGAGGGAAGGGGGGAAGGGGATGGAATGGGGGCACGCACCGGCTGCTGTGCCCGCACAAGAGGCTCCTGCCGGGATGGAGGTGCCATAACGGTGCATGGACCGGGATGAGGACGAGGGACCGGGATGGGGGTCCCGGACCGGGATGGGGGTCTCGGACCGGGATGGGGTCCCAAACTCGGGATGGGGTTCCGGATCCGGGATGTGAAGACGGGACCACGTTGGTCAGGGACCACGGGATGGAGATGCTCGGACCGGCCGTATCCCGGATCAGGTGTCCCAAAGCCGGGATGGAGATGCCATAACGGGATCCTCGGGCGGACCGGGATGTGGAAGCGGGACCGGGGTGGGGGGACACGTACCGACCCCTATCCCGGATCAGGAGACCCAAACCGGGATGGAGATGCCATAACGGGACCCGGGCCGGGATGGGGATCCTGGACCGGGATGGGGGGACGGTCCAGGGGTGGGGGGGGGTCGGTACCGGGATGGAGGTGCCATAACGGGACCGCTACAGGGATGGAGTGCCCTGTACCGGGGTGAGAATCCCGTACCGGGATGGGGTCCCGGTACCGGGATGGAGGTGCCATAACGGTGCCTGTACCGGGGTAGAAAGGTCTGTACCGGGATGGGATCCCGGTACTGGAATGGGGTGTCCCGTCCCGGGATGGGATGTGCTGTACCGGGATGGGGTCCAGGTACCAGTGCAGGGCTCCCATTCTGGGATGGGGGCCCTATTCCAGCTCCCACACCGGGACGGGGGCTTGGAACTGGAATGGGATGTCGTGTACTGGAATGGGGGACCCCGTGTCAGCACCGGTGCCAGGATGGGAGCCCTGCCCTGGGGTAGGGTCCTGCCCTGGGATGGGGGTCCCACAGCAGCACCTGTACTGGACCTGCAGTTTGATCCTGGGAGGGGATCAGACAGGTGCTGTGTTGGTGCCTGTACTGGGATGGAGAATCCCAGACTGGGATGGGAGTCTGGGACTGGAACTGGGGTCCTGTGCTGGTGCCTGTGCTGGGAGGGACCCATAACCAGGCTGGGGGTCCCATCCTGGCAGCTGTTCCAAAGGGAGATGTGTGGGGGTCCCACACTGGTGTCTGTCCCTGGATGAGGGACCCCTGGGGCCGTGGCCTGGGGACCCTCCCTCCAGCTGGGGTGACCCCAACTCTGGGGTTGCCTCTCACAGCCACCCCCAATATCCCAGCAGAGTCCTGCCCTTCATCCTCCATCCTCATTCCCATTCCCAACTCCTCACCTGGACACCACCTGCTCTCTGTCCTCACCGTGGGGGGACAGAACTGGGGTCTGTCCCTTGCTGGGGACAGCGGGGGGGACGTGCTGGCTGTGACACGGGTGGGGGGGGTGCTGTGAGTGCTCTGGGGGTGCTGCTGCTGTTTTGGGGGTGTTCCTTGTGGGACCAGCTGGTCCCACCGTGGGGTGACAGCGTTGTTGCCGTTGTCGGTGAGGGACTGCCGGGCGTCCCAGGCCGGGCAGGTCCATCCTCTGAACGTGTGTCCCGTGGGAAGGGACCGGCAGGTGGAAGCCGTGTGGGATCGGGGAGGCTCCGGGTGCCGGAGCCGACGCCGCTTTGGCTGCACCACGCCGGGAGATCCGGGATGCTGGGATACCACCTTCTCTTCCTCCTTCTCCTCCTCCTCCTCCCAGGAGAACCCTCGTGCCGCTGCAGCCCCTCTGCTTTAGCTCGCTTGCTTTGTCTGGGGAGGGGTCCCCCCCACCCCGAAGACCTCCCCGGGGCTCCCCCCGCCCGCCCGGAGCACAGAAGACCGGGGTGGCCCCTGCACATCCCGGGGCTATTCCTGCAGCCGGGAAGGACCCTCGGGCCGCTCAGCAATCGCCCCCCACCCCCTGCTGGGGCATCCCTCGGGGCGATGGATCTCTGGGGAGTAGCACGTGGAGAGATGACCCCGCGCCGAGCTCTGCCCGGACCCCTCTGGTTACTCCTGTAAGAGATCCCGCCGGGATCCCTCAGGGACTCCGCTCCGTGGCCAGGGCTCTCTTGCCACCAACAGGGACCCCCGATCCAGACCCTGCTCCCCAGCCAGGGCCCCGCCCGGGGGGGCTTCCCCGCCGCGGGTGCCGGAGGCCGACGCCGCTTTGCCGGGGCTCGAGGACGTTGTCGCCGCTCTGTCACCGCTCTGTGTCACCGCCCTGTCTGACCAACCCCCCCTGCTTTGGGTTTCCTTTCAGATCGATGACATCGCGGACGGCGCCGTGAAACCCCCCCCGAACAAGTACCCCATCTTCTTCTTCGGCACCCACGAGACGTAAGCGCCGCCCCGCTGTGTCCCCCCACCCCAGCTTCGCCGGGGCCCCGCCGGCGCCCCCCGGGCCTCACCTCTGCTTTGTGTCTCTCTCCTTCAGAGCCTTCTTGGGCCCTAAAGATCTGTTCCCTTACGAAAAGTACAAAGACAAATATGGCAAACCAAACAAGAGGAAAGGCTTCAACGAGGGGCTGTGGGAAATCCAGAACAACCCTCACGCCAGTTACAGTGCCCCTGCGGTGAGTGCGGGCCGGGC